TGGCCGCTTAGTATTCCGTTGTGTGTATGTACCAGCATTTGTTTATCCATTCATCTGTTGATGAGCAGTTGTTTCCATCTTTTTGTTATTGTGAATAATGCTGCAGTGAACATAGGTGTGCATATATCTGTTCGTGTCAGTAGTTTTAGTTTTCTAGGGAATATACCTAGGAGTGGGATTGCTGGATCATAGGATATTTCTATTTCTAGCTTTTTGAGGAAGTGCCATACCATTTTCCATAGTGGTTGAACCAGTTTACAATCCCACCAGTAGTGGAGCAGGGTTCCAGTCTCTCTACAACCTGGCCAATATTTGTTGTTTTCTGTTTTTTTGATCAGTGCCATTTTTGCAAGGGTGAGATGATATCTTATTGTAGTTTTGATTTAAATCTTGCTAACGATCATGAGCATTTCCTCGTGTGTCTATTAGCTGCTTGAATGTCTTCTTTGCTGAAGTGTTTGTTCCTCATTCCTTTATTTATTCATTGGCATTTTTCTGTAAGGAAGCGTTGTCCCTTCTTCCCCATTTATATATTTATTTAGTCATTTATTTGTATCAGTATGGATGCATGGATATTTATTTTATTCTTTAGATTCTAATCTAATAACTTTATTTTGTTGCTCAAATTGTTTCAGCTTTGGCTGTTAGGTCTTCTGTCAGGTTGACTCCTTTGTTCTGTTGACATATCTACCCCGACGTTTTATTTTTTATCACTTTATTACTTTCTGTAACCACAAGATGCTCCAGCTTTATCTTGTGTGTTTTTCTTGGCCCTGGCTTGGAATCTACCACTTCTCTAAGGAGACATAGTTCCTTTTATTGGAGAATGTTCTTTAGAAACCAAGATCTGGGTGCTAGGTATGCTCACTGCTACTGGGGTAGCACTGCTTCTTAGGCCCTCTCAACTAGAAATATAAGGATACCACTGCTTTTGAACAAGCTGATCGCATGCCTTTCTTGATATGTTGTTGTGTGCTGTCAAGTCGATTCTGACTCATAGTGACCCTATAGGACGGAGTAGAACTGCCCAATAGGTTTCCAAGAACATAATCTTTACGAAGCAGGTTGCCATGTCTTTCTCCCATGGAGCAGCCCTGGGTTTGAACCGGTGACCTTTTGGTTAACAGCTGAGTGCTTAACCACTACGCCACCAGGGTTCATTCTACTTGATATAGGAAACTCAAAGGCAAAGTTTCTCTTATAATAGATTATATACTATTATTATTATCCATAGGAAAGGTACATCAAGGTACTAAGAACACTTACTTCATGAAATTATTATCAGTTAAGAGTTGAAAGACTTTATTTAAAAAAAAAATTTGTTTTAGTATGTTGTTAGGTGCTGTTGAGTTGGTTCTGACTCATAAAGACCTTATATATAACCGAATGAAATGTTGCCCAGTCTTGCATCATCCTCACAATCATTGCTATGTTTGAGCTCATTGTTGCAGCCACTGTGTCAGTCCATCTTATTGATGGTCTTTCTCTTTTTTGCTGACCCTCTGCTTACCAAGCATGATATCCTTCTCCAGGTATAGGTCCCTCCTGACAACATGTCCAAAGTATAGTTGACCATAATTAATAAGCTCTATGGTAACTATTCTAAAATCTTAGTTGTTGAGTAATAATCCAATGAAGCGAGAAATGTTATTCAGTTTCCCTGGTGTACTTTTCACAGAAAGTTTTATTTTGGAGGTTACTTCAAGAAGAATGGCTTAAAGCTATGGGCCCTTTGTTGAGTTTTTTGGTTTATTTTGTTTGTTTGTTTCCCCAAACAGACATTGGCCAAACCTACTTTAAGATGTTTCCAGTATAATATTATGGCAACACTACTATATATATTAGAATTTGAGGGCCTTGATTTTTTTTTCTTTTTTTTTTTAGGGTTCTCAAGGCTGTAATCTTTTTTTATTTTTTTAATTGTACTTTAGATGAAGGTTTACAGAACAAACTAGTTTCTCATTTAACAGTTAGTACATATACTGTTTTATGACATTGGTAAACAACCCCATGACATGTCAACACTCTCCCCTTCTAGACCTTGGGTTCCCAATTATCAGCTTTCCTATCCCCTCATACCTTCTAGTCTTGACTAGATTTCCTTCTTTAGGGTGAGTCTATAAAGTTTAAAGCCATACTGATTACAAATATATCATTTTGGTGACCTTTGTGACTTTATTTATTTACTTATTTTTGACTAGGTAATCACATGGATCAAAAATTGAAAGTTCAAAAGATATATGGTTAAAAGGCAGCCTTCCACAACTTTTCTGTGGCTACCCTCTATTCCTTGGAGGCAGCTATTGTTACCAGTATCTTATGTGTCCTGAGATTTTTTTTTTTTTTTAATTGTACCTCAGGTGAAGGCTTACAGAACAAATAGTTTCTCATGAAATAGTAGTACACATATTGTTTTATGACATTGGTTAACAACCCCACAACATGTCAACCCTCTAACTTCTCAACCTTTTCTTTTGGTGAAAATACACATAGCCAAAGATACACCATTTCAAAAATTTCTACATGCACAGTTCAGTGACATAGACTGCGCTCTTCCAGTTGTGCTGTTACTGTCACTTAACATGAAGGCTTACAGAACAAAATAGTTTCTCATTTAACAGTTACTACAAATGTTGCCCTGTGACAATGATAACAATCTCACAACACATCATCAATATCCTTACTCAGCCTTGGGTTCCCTATCACCAGCTTCCTTGTCCCCTTCTGCCTTCTGGCCCTTGTCACTGGACTCCTGTACCTCGTTAGTCTCATTTGGTTTTATGCCTTCTGAGATATTTTATGCATTTACAAGCAGATACATTTTATAGGTTTTTGTGACTCCATTTTGTGTTTTTCCTTATCTTTTCTTACCTGCTTAAAAAAATCATCTTCCTGTTTGTTTTTTTTCCTGTTTATTTTTGATAATTATAAAATAATACATGTTCATTGCTAAAGATTCAGAAAATGCAGAAAAGATCAAAGAAACTAAAAATCTTTTGTACCAGAGATGATCCTTGTTAACATTTATGTTTATTTTTCCAAGTATTTTTTATTGTATACATACATATACATTTTTTCTGAAATAATTAAGTGAATGAATGCTTATAAATATTTAAAATAAAAATTCAATAATATTTTACATTGTATTTTATGACTTGCTTTTCCATTTAAGTATATTTCATGGACATCTTTTCTTCAGTAAATACAGATTATAGTGTACTTTTAAATTTTAACTATTTTGAAATAATTTTCGATTTTCTAAAAACTTGCAAAAATAGTACATAGAGTTCCTGTTTACTTTTAACCCAGCTTCTCCTAATGTTAACATCTCACACAACTCTAGTACAATTATCTGAACCAGGAAATTAATGTTGATATGGTGTTATTAATTAATCTACAGGCCTTATTTTAGAATATTGCCAATTGTTCATTTTCAGGTCCAAGATCTAATTCATGATCTCACATTGCATTTAATTGTCATATCTCCTTAATCTTTTCCAGTCTGGGACAGTTCCTCAGACTTTCCTTGTCTTTCATTATTTTGGTGTTTTCGAAGAGTAATTTTTTAGAATGTCTCTCAATGTGTTTACCTTATATTTTCTCATGATTAGACTGTGGTTATGCTTTTTTGGCAGGTGTACCACATTTTTGCACTAGTATCACAGACATTTTTGTGTCCATCTCAATGTATTATATCAAGAGATTCTTGATGTCGATATGTGCACTGTTGATATGTGAACTGGTTGATATATTTTTGGTGATGTTAATTTTGATTATTTGCTTAACGTAATAAATACCAGATTTATCTACTGTGGAATTATTTTTCCCTTTGCAAGTATTTTGTTTCTCATCATGTTTTTGCCCACTAGTTTTAGCATCCGTCGATGACACCTGCCTTTTACGTAAACTACTATGGTTTTTGCCAAGTAGTGATTTTCTATTTCCATCTTTCCTTCTATATTCATTACTTATAATTCTTCTGTAAGGAAGAGCTGTTCTTTCTCTCCCACTATTTTTCAACTATTTATATCACAGTAGATTTTTAACTGTAAAATGTTCCATCGTGTATATGTATCATAATTTATTTAAATAAACCTCCATGTGGACATTGGATTATTTCCAGCTTTCAGTATTGTAAGCTTTGTAATGAATGTACCCCTTTGGGCACTTGCCCACTTATTTCTCTAGGATAAATTACCTTAAAAAAATAATTTCTGAATCTAAAGGTGCACACTTTAAAAGTACATATTATGAATGGAGACACCCCGAGAGTATGGCCGCTGGGTACCCTCTTAACTCATTACTGAAGTCACTCCTGTGGTTTACCCTTTAGCCAAAGATTAGATAGGCCCATAAAATAAAACGAGACTAAATGGGTACACCAGACCAAGGGCAAGGATGAGAAGGCAGGAGGGGAACTCAGGGTCAAGAAGGGGAGAGTGTTGACATGTCATGGGGTTGGCAACCAATGCCACAAAACAGTATGTGTATTAATTGTTTAATGAAAAACTAGTTTGCTCCGTAAACCTTCATCTGAAGCACACAAAAAAGTACATATCACCCCCTTGAAAGGTTATTATGAATGACATTCAAATAAGCAGCATGTGAGAGTCAGTGCCTATTTCCCCACATTATGAACAACATTTCTCACCAGCTTCTAATTTGTTATCTTATTGTGTTTTGGAACTGGATAGAATGTACATGAATAACTTTTTGGAGTGGGTAAAAATTTCAGGGGGATAGAAAGAAGCTTATAGTTTAACATTAAACACTCACAATGAGCGCTGCCCCACAGTGGAAAGAGATGCACTATATGGAAGAGAATTCCCATCACTGGAAATGTTTAGATCAAGACTTAAAGCCACTTGTTGGGAATGATGTAGAAGGGATCAGATAAACTCTGAGGCCCCTCTTTTTCCTGGGAGTATATAATACTTGAGTTTATGGCTGTCTGCCTATGTCTCCAATGTTTGAGTAAACTTGGATGTCTTGTTTTTCAGTGGTTGAAGGCCTCTCACTATTGGACTTGGGAGTGTCTCCGTATTCTGGAGCAGTATTCCATGAAGTAAGTGTTCTTGTTTTCTTTTCTGGGTACTAAAAGTAGTTTATAGTCACAGATACCAAAGCCTACCCTCTGTTTGTTTTGTACTAACATTTAAAAAGATCTATTTTGGAAAATCATATTTAGAAGCAGACCTTTTTTAGATGTCCTCTGCATAAGAAGGTTTCACAACTGCAGTGGGAATGATCCAGACTTAAGATTGTAATTTTGGGAAGCAGATGAGGCTTCTATAGAAGTTACTTTAAATGACAAATAAATGGTAAACAGTCCCCAGACCATGAATAAATTGTATGCTAATGGGCATGTACTTTAGGTCTTTGGAACATGCTTTCCCGTGAAAACTGTGACAGCAGCGTTAGTTTCTTAGAAAGCCCACTAAAACCTATTTAATCCATTATTAGTTCTTAAGAATAGTAAAAACACTCTTGGTTAAACTACTGTCATCTCTTGTTTCAATTACTGCAACAGCTTCCTGACACATGTTTCTACCTTCAGTCTTGTTCATTTACTCTTTGTTCGGCAGTCAAAGCCATCTTTCTAAAATGTGAATCTGATTTTGTCACTGGCTTGCTCAGTACCTTTGAATGCTAACCGTTGACCTCAGAATAAAATCTCAACACCTTAGAGGGTCATACAAAGCCCTGTGGCTTCTGCTCACCATATCAACCGCATTTCTTTCCACTCTCTTTCCCATTCTTATTAGCATATCGTTCTAAAGTAGAAGTCTTCCAATTTGACATTGTTTCTCCTAATTTTTATAGTTGTCTCCCTTATACTTATTTTGAGAACAAAGTTTTCTTTTGGAACTTCACATCTACCTAGGCTTTTGAAAGCATTAGACTTAGTTCTCATAGAAATAACAGTTATCTTTTGCATTTATATTTCATTATCTTTGTATTACTATTTAATTGAATCACAGTAAGAGAAACTGCTGGCAGAAACAGACTAGGAGCTATTTAAGGAACAACAATAAATTATTTAAAATTTTTTTAAAAAAGATTCAGGTCATACAGAGTATGTTCTCTGACCACAGTGGAATTAAATAAAATATTAATAACAGAAATATATCTGGAAAATCCTCAAATATTGGAAAACTAAGTAACACATTTCTAAATAACCCATAGATCAAAGAGGAAATCTAAAGGGAAATTAGAAAGTATTTTGAACTGGATGAAAATGAAAGCACAACATATCAAAATATGTGGGATGCTTCTAAAGCAGGACTTAAAAGGAAATTTGTAGCACGAAATGCTTATATTAGAGAAGAAGAAAGGTCTCAAATCAGTGACCTCAGCTTCTACCTTAAGAAACTAGAAGAAGAAAGGCAAATTAAACCCAAAGTAAGCAGAATAAAGGGAATAATAAAAATCTGAGCAGAAATAAATGAAATAGAAAACAAAAATAATAAAATCACTGAAACCAAAAGCTGGTTCTTTGGGACAAACAATACAGTTAATAAACTTTTGGGAATGGTAGCTATGTTCACTGTCTTTGGTTTTGGTGGTGATTTCATGGTGATGTATGTATATATGTATGTATATATATGTATATGTGTATATATATGTCAAAACTTAATGAAATTGTACACTTTAAATATGTGCAATTTATTATATGCCAGTTATACCTCCATAATGCTAAAGTTTAAAAATAATGTGATTTCAGTTAATGGTAAGTACATGCGGAAAAATAAAGCTGAGTAAAAGGATAAAGAGTGATGATGGTCATGTGGTCAGTATTTTATAAACTGTGGTCAGGGAAGGCTGTCTGAGGAGGTGAAATTTGAATAATGACCTAAATGAAGCAAGCAAGCCATATGATGGCCCTGATTTGGGAATGAACTTGGCATTTGTGAGTTGTAGAAAGATGGACTGTGTGGCTAAGGCAGAATGAGCAAGGGGAAAATGATAGACATGAGTTATGAGAGGAAGTTAGAGGCCACATTTTTAGGACTTTGTATAAACATGGTTAGGAGTTTGGATTTTATTTTTAGTGTGACGGGAAGACATTGGAGGCTTTTAAACAGGGAGAGAAGTGATCAGATTTTATCTTTTATGTTTAATAAGTATTGTTGTGGTTACTGTGAGGGAAATTGGCTCTAGAGGTACAGTGTGATGGATCACTTTTTTGCGGCCTTTCTAGCCATGGTCTTCTAACTCCCACTCATCTGATTGGGTGGGACTCTGTGATAGAGTAATTGTGGCCCACCAAAAGGATTGGTCAGTTTTGCCATCTTGCTGGGTATGAAATGAGCCACCCCAGAGGCGAAAAAGAGGATACCACCACCACCACCAAGGAAGAACAACCAGGAGCCAGCACATCCTTTGGACCTGGGATCCCTGCACTGAGAAGCTCCTGGAACCAGGAAATCGAGAGAGAGAGAGAGAGAGAGAGAGAGAGAGCTGTAACACCGAAGATGGCAAGAAGTGGTGGCAGAGAAACAGCAGCAGGAGAGACTGGCAGGAGATGGCATGGTGGGCTTCCAGGCCCATGGAGTGAGAAAACTGAGTACCTTTGGGCCAAAGCTTACTGGCAGAGTGGGGTGCCTCTGAGCACTTATTGGCAGAGCTAAAAGAGCTTTGTAACACTCGTCTGAGCAGGGCAGAGGCTGGGGGCCAGGGAAGCAAGCATGGCTGGGAAGAGGCTATCCTGACAAAAGAACTGTATCCTGAGTGTTCCTCAACCTGAATTGTAGCCTTTAAACTTCCATAATAAACCCCATAATCGTGAGTATTGTCTGTGAGTTCTATGTGGCCTTTGCAATGAGTTATTGAACCCAGCAAAGAAATAGAGAATGCCATGGGAGGGACGGTTGGTGTCAGAATTGGTAAAGATGGCGGAGAGAGGAGGCATGTCTGATGTCTGCCTCATAGGAATCAGCCTTGGGCTGTTGATCTTGATTCTCCTTCCCCCTTGTGAAGTTAGAGGAGATCAGACACCACCCCCGTGCTCTTTTTACAAGGGGCGAGAGGTGATAAGGATGCTGTTGCAGTAGTCTAAGCAGGATGATGATGCCATGAAACTTGAGTTATATTTTTAGAAGTAACTTGCTTTGATAGATTTCATGTGAGATATGAAGGCAAGACAGGATTCAAGGATCCGATTCTAGGATAACAGTATTTTTTGGCCTGAGCAACTGAATATTGGTGTTATTTATGGAAATGAGGCATACTGGTAGAGGAGCAGGGTTTGGGAGAGGGGAGGGGAAATCAAGAATTCAGATTCTGCCACATTAAGTTTGAAGTGCTTATTAGACATCCAAATGGAGATGCGGAAGCAATTGGCTATACAAATGTGAAACTCAAGAGGAGAGGTCCAGCTTGAGGTATAAAATTCTGATCTATTAGACCACAGATGTTATTTAAAGCCAGGGGACTGGATGTGATCGCCTAGTGTGATTGCCAGCCTCTAAAATGGCCCCCAAAGATTTTCACCTCTTTTGTAGTCCCCTCCCAGGGTTGGTCTGTGTGACCAATAGAATACGGCAGAAGTGATGATATATCACTTCCGAGATTAGGTTATAAAACATACTGCAGTTTCCATCTTGGACTCTATCTTAGATCACTTGCACTGGGGGAAGTTATGTCATGAGTAATAGCCTCATGGAGAGGTCAGTGTGTTGAGGAGCTGGATCTTCCTACCAACAGTCACGTGAGTGAGCTTGGAAGTGGATACTCAAGCCCCTTCAGAGACTGCAACTCCAGCTGACAGCTTGACTGCAACCTTGTGAGAGAACCTGAGTCAGAACCGCCCAGCTAAGCCATTTCTCAATTCCTGACTCCTAGAAACTGCGTGAGATGATAAATGTTTTTTGTTTCAAGCTGCTAAATGTTTGGGTAATTTGTTACTCAGAAATGGATAACAAAAAAGAAAGAAATAGATAACTAATACACCTAGGAAATAAATTTAGATAAAAAACACTGAGATCTGGGGGAGAGGAGCTAGCAAATAAAGCTGAGAAGGAAAATCAGAAAAATGTGGTACATGGAAGCCAAATGAAGAAAGTGCTTCAAGGAGGGAGTAAAAAACTATGTGAAATGCTGCTGCAAGGTTGGGAAAATTAGGACTGCAGATTGATGATTGATTTGCTGAAATTGAGATCTTTGGAAACAATAATTTCAGCGGAGTGTGGAGATAAGACACTGATTGAAGTATATTGTGGAGAGGAAATGGAAAGACAGTTCAGACAACTTTTTTGAGGAGCTTTGCTCTAAAGGGGGGCAAAGAAATGGTATAGTAGATGGTGGAGGATGTCTACTGAAGATTCTTTAAATATAAGGGATTTGCATTTTTGGGTGCTGATGGGAATAATCCTGTGGATGGAGAAGTTGATAATGTAGGATGTTGATGTTGTTAGTTGCCATGGAGTCAGTTCCTACTCATGGCCACCACATGTATGCGTAAGATTTTCAAGGCTGTGATCTTTTGGAAGCAGATCACCAGACCTATCTTCTGAGGTGCTCTGGATGTGTTTGAACCACCAACGTTTTTGCTAATAGTCAAATGCTTAACCGTTTGTGCCATCCAGGGATTCTGATAATGTAGGATAAAACCAAAAACTAAACCAAACCCACTGCCATCGAGTCGATTTTGACTCATAGTGACCTTATAGGACAGAGTAGAACTGCTCCATAGGGTTTCCAAGGAGTAGCTGGTGGATTCAAACTGTTGACCTTTTGATTAGCAGCCATAGCTCTTAACTACTGTGCCACCAGGGTAGAATAGAGACAGGATAATTGAAAGAGTAGAGTCCTTGAGGAAGCGAGAAGGAATGGGATCAATTTCATAGGTAGAGGAATTGGTTTTAGGTAGGAAAAAAGAAAGTTTATTCTTTTTTCTTAATAAGAAAAAGGCAGACAATATGGGGATAGATATAGGAAGTTGGTCCACTGAGTGGTGGGAAAATAAACTGGTTCTCATTTAATTGCTTTTTTCGCAGTGAAATAAGAAGTGAGACTGTCAGCTGAAAGTGAGAAGTGGTGAGGGAAGTGGAAGATTTGAGAGAA